TCAAAAAAAAAAAAAAGATCAAGTCCCATGCCTAGGTGGGTTACACAGTGAGTTAGGGACACAGCGGGTTCCAAATCCTGACCCCAGAGCTGCAACTTTTTGTCACTATGACCCCCATAGCAGCCACGTTTATTTTTTCATCTGAAGTGCTCTCCAGGCCTTACTCTGTGCCTCTGTGAAATGGATTTGTGGATGAGTGCTGCTTGGCAGCCTGGGATTTCCATCTTCTTTTTCTTCTTTCATTCTCAAGATGTCCCCTTTCTTCTTTCTTCTTTCTCCTTCTCTACTTGTCTGGGCAGCTTAGTATTAGGTCATTCATTAGGGCCCCAAGGTCAGGGCTGGGTGCACAACAACTGACCTTTACATCCCAGTAGCTAATCTCTGTTCTCCAGTCTCCACTCACTTATCTCAAACCATAGCCAACCTGCCCCGGTCATTTCCGCAACCCCTGTGGGCAGCCACGGACGGGCCTGTATCTCTGGGTACATACAGCTTCCCTGTCCAAGTAGCTGAGAACTTCCTGGGGCTGAGGAAGCCTGAGGGACAATGCCAGGAAGCCAGGCCTCTCTCCTCCAGGCCTGACCTGGAGACCCTGCTCCTATGTTGGAACATTCTAGCTTGTGATGGGAAACTGAGGCCCAGAGAGGGGAGAGAGATGGCTGAGGTCCCTCAACCAATGGAGTGACCCAGATGCTGTGTGTTTTCACCCAGACAGCTCGAAACCTTACAGCTGTATTCTGGTATACAGACCACACTAGACAAATCCACCTTTGTTACAGAAATAAAGCTCTGCTTCCCTCCCAGAGAGGTTGGGGGAGTGAGGGCAGGAGTAAAGTGAGCCCGAGGGAGTGAAAAGAACCCTTATGAGGCTAACAGAAGGCTTCACTCTGGAAGGTTCCCCTACCCCACCACCATGGTTTGGGACAGTTGCCAGGATCTCTTGGGTCCCCAGAGTTATTTGGGCCCAGAGTGTTCTCGATGGTACAGCTGGTCCCACATAGAGGACTGTTTAGAACCACAACCAAGGAATGTGCAAAGCCAGCTTATGGGTGCAGCGGTGGGACCCTGGGCCAGCTGCCCTCATCCTACCCTCCTGGGCCCTTAGGAATAAAGGGGTGTGTGTGTGTGTGTACACGGCTGCCCCAAGATACAGAGTCAGGGAAGTGTGTTTTCTGATCCGTCCTCAAGGGTGATGTCAATGGATATGGTGGCTGTGAGACTTGGCCCAGGTCCATTACCCTAGTAACCAGATAATTGATCATCCAAGCAGGGCCATTTCTGAAGATGAAAGTGGTGCCGTTAATAATTATACTGGGAACACAGGTGTGAACTGAGGCTGTCCTGACCAAACTGTGACACATGGCCACCCCAATGCTACCTCTCCCTGCCTCAGTCTCCACATGTGTAAGTTATTCAGTGGAATGAGATAATCTCTACATTCAACTCCAGTCCTTGAAACCTATTGTTTGACCCAAGAATTCAGATGTTTCTGTTTACTGAGACAGAGTCTCACTTTGTTGCCCTCTGTAGAGTGCTGTGGAATCATAGCTCACAGCAACTTCAAACTCTTGGGTTCAAGTGATTCTCTTGCCTCAGCCTCCTTAGTAGCTGGGACTACAGGTACCTGCCACAACACGTGGCTATTTTGTTGTTGTTGTTGTTTAGCAGGCATAGCCCTGGTGCATGTGGCCAGCACCCTAACCAAGAATCTTTTTTTCCTCTTTTTTTTTTTTGTATTAAATCATAGCTGTGTACATTAATGCAATTGTGGGGTACAGTGTGCTGATTTTATATGCGATTTGAAATATTTTCATCAAACAGGTTAACATAGTTTTCTTAGTTATTGTGTTGACATTCGTATTCTGGGTGGTGCCTGTGGCTCAGAAGGGTAGGGCACCGGTCCTATATGCTGGAGGTGGTGGGTTCAAACCCAGCCCTGGCAAAAAAAAAATTTTTTAAAGACATTTGTATTCTACATTTAGTAAATTTCACATGTATCCTTGTAAGATGCACCATAGGTGTAGTCCCACCAAGAATTCAGATTTTTAATGATCCTTTTCGATGACCCTGAGGACAGCTCGCTGTGTAATTACCATGAGCTCGTCACTATTCTTAATGCTTCCTATGAACTTTTCCACTGAACCCTCTAAACAGTGCTAGAAGGCATTGGTGACAAAAATAAACATAACAACTGGTATTTATTGAGCACTTACTATTTACCAGGCACCTTGTACTAAGCTTTACATGTCTCATCTTCTTTAAGCTTCTCAATGGCCTTATAAGGAGCTACTGCAATTTGCTCCTTTTTTTTTTTTGGAGACAGAGTCTCATTCACTATGTCACCCAGATAGAGTGCTGTAGTGTCACAGCTCACAGCAAACTCAAACTCTTGGGCTTAAGTGACTCTCTTGCCTCAGCCTCCCAAGTAGCTAAGACAACAGGCACCCACCACAATGCCCAGCTATTTTTTGTTGCAGTTGTCATTGTTGTTTAGCTGGCCCGGGCTGGAATCGAACCTACCAGCCTCAGTGGTATATGTGGCTGGCGCTGGAACCACTATACTACGGGCACCAAGCCGATTTGCTCCATTTTACAGATGAGGAAACTGTAGCACAGAGAAGCTAAGTACTTGTCCAGATTCCCCAAACTAGTTTTACACCTGGAATTGGACCTTCCCAGGCATGTGGTTGAAGCCCGTTTTTTCTTTGATGAGAAAACTGTGGATCAGAGAAGCCTGGTGACATGACCCAGGGCACACAGTGTGCAGGGGAAGAAGCAGGGAACCAGACTTGGGGATACTCTTGGACCCCAAGGCTGCTGGCTCCTCCCCAAATGCCAGCTCCGGAAGTCAGGGAATGTTCAGAGGCTTCCAGTCGACTCTTGGCACCCAGGCAGGGCCCTGGAAGCCTGTGTCATGCCTGTTAGTTCATGGTTATATTTGGGCTGAGTGTGGGTGGGGCTGGCAGGCGAGAAGGAGGAGGCTGGGTGCTGGGAGGGAGCCCCTTGGTGAGCAGGCCCCAATATTGCCAGTAGTGGGTGGTCAGAGCTGCAGGGAGGGAGATGGAAGAATAAAAATAAACCCTCCTGGGCAGCTGCCCAGCAGGCAGAGAACGTTCTCTGTTCCTTCTCTCCACCACCATGTCCAGAAAGTGACCAGCCCCTCCTCACCCTTCCCATGACTCAGACCTGCAGAAGCAGCCATGCTGAGACAGCCTCTCCACATCACTCCGCCTTTGAGAACCCCATGAGGGAGCATCCTCTTTGGGAATGAGAAGCTTTGAGAGCCTCAGGACCTGGGTTCCAATACTAACTTTGCCGCAAACTCCTAGGATGTTCTTGAGAGACCCCTTTCTTTCTGAGTCTCAGTTTTCTTACCTGTGCAAGGAGTCTCAGAGGAAGTACCTGTTTGGTAAATTGTGAAAGCCTATTGGGAGGTAAGGGTGGTCATAGCCAGCTTCTCAGAACCGCCTGTGGGGATGAGGAGGCTGGCAGTTGGAGAGGGCCCTGGGTCAGACAGCTGGAAGATGCACAGTCCAAATCCTCCACTAGCCTACAGCAAGAGGCTCTCCAGGGACTAAGGTCCCATCCTGCTTAGGGCTTCTTTCTCTGAAGCTGGACTCTAGCTGGACTCTAGCAGGTGAAGGATTTTGTCAGGAGATGAGGACCCTTGGGAATCATCTTTTTTTTTTCTTTTTCCAGTTTTTTGCCTGGGCTGGGTTTGAACCCTCCACCTCCAGTTTATGGGGGAGGTGCCCTACTCTTTTGAGCCACAGGTGCCACCCAAGGGACCATCTTGCTTAGCTCCTGTCTATGGTACAGATGGGCACCTGATCCTGAGGGACGGATGGTCATGTCCAAAGTCATGTCAGCACAGAGCAGTGGGACTGAGACTCTGCCCCAGGTTGCGTGTCCTCATCTATCAGGAGGAATCCATCTGACTGAGGACCTACCATGCACCTGTGGCTTTTCATGCTTCCCCAGAAAGCCAGCCTGCAAAGTTGGGGTTCTGATCCCACTTTACAGATGAGAAAACCAAGGCTCAGGAAGATGAAACCTCCCACCAAAGTTTTTTCAGTGGTTATTGTGGAGTGAAGCCTGGAGCCCAGGCTGCGGGACCCCAGGAGGATGCCCTGCCCACCCCTGGCTCATGGCTGCTGCTTCTTCCCTTCACAGGCCCAGCCCCCAGCCAGGAGTTGGGGACAAAGGCCCGCTTCTCTCTGAGCGAGGCTCTGGAGGAGACTGCTTGGTCAGCCTCTGTGGTGAACCAGGATTCCGCCTTGTCACTAAAGATCAACTCCCCAGCCAATGCCCCCATTGGCCTGTACCGCCTCACCCTGGAGATCTCCAGCTCCGAGGGCTCCGGCCTCGTGGGCTCCAGCCACACATTGGGCCATTTCACCCTGCTCTTCAATGCCTGGTGCCCAGGTAAGCCATATACCAGTCAGGGGTGGGATGGGTGGGCAGGACTGGACCCACTGGGGGTAGGAGAAACAGGACAGGATAGTCATCAAAGTGGACTGATGAGGTCCTCTGTGGCCACTTTGTACTCCACCCTCACAAAACCCTCGCAACAGGAGTACTCATCCCATTTACAGACAATGGGATGGGATCGCAGAAGCAAAATGACTTGCCCAAGGCTACACATCTACCCAGGGATTTCACTTAGTGTCAAAGATGCGTGTGTTCCCACAGCACTGTGAACCAGGGCGCACTGTGAACCGGGGTGTACTGTGAACCAGGGTGACCTGTGAACCAGGGCGTACTGTGAACCAGGGCATAGTGGCGTCATGTTAGGAAGGGGGGTGCTCAGTGGATGGCCAGGCCCTGGCACCTTCATGGGGCCCTGCTTTAAATTTCAGCCAGTCCCATTGAGGGAAGGGGAACAGAGGGGTGGGTGGCCAGGAGAGGTGAGTAGGAGCAGTTTACTTGGCTAAGAGCCTCTTCGTACACCATCCCAGCTGTTCCTCTTGAAAATCCCAAGGAGGATTTGTCAGCGTTCCCGTTTGCAGGCAGGAAACTGAAGCTTAGAGTGGTTAAGTGGCTTTGGGGAGCCATTTCAATATGTAAGTGGACAGTCCAGACAAAACGGGAAAGTCAGAGAGAGGAAAGCCTGGAAAAGCTGAGACTGATGTGAGCAGGAGGGAGGAGGCAGGGTTTGCCAGGCCCTCCCCAGCCTCAGTTTCCCCATCTGACTAACAAGGCAGTCAGATGTGACCCTCTGCTTCCTTCTTTCTCTGGCAGGGAGAGAAGCCCCCACCTGGGAGTGGAGTGTCCCTTCTCTGAGGGCCAGAAATTCTGGCCTCGCTTGTTAGATACCACTTTCTTACTGGGCCACTGCTTTAATTTTTTCATCTCTATTTTGAGGTATTTTTTATGATATGCTTGAGCAAAAAGCTTTTTAAAATTTTCCCCTTTACATATGCTGGCTTTTATTTCCAATGATAACAGTAAGACATAGGAACAGCCTCTTTAGAAAAGCTTCAAGCACTACTGAGAAACAGCGTTCCCCCCTTTGAATCTCCCTCCTGGGGGATGTTACCATGGCCATCTTGGCAGGGTCATCTCCTTAGGTTCATCTGTGTGTGTCTGAAGAAGTTGCTGTATTTGGGGGGTCTCTCAAACATAAAATGATCCCACAGCATAGGCATCACCCTACAACCTGGTTTCCTCCCCCTGCAACACACCCGGGGGATCTGTGCACATCTGCTCATTCTTTCTGAGAGTCCAGAGTGCCCCTCAACTAGAGTCCTTGCTCGCCTGTTCTGTGGCCACCTGAAATGATTTCTCAGGCCAGAAGTAGCCCCGCTGGACCTTGCCATGTGTTTTGAATTTTAGTCAATCTGCAGAGGGTGGCGACTAGGTGGCAGCTCTGTCAAAGGAGCAGAGACATGCCTGCATCCCCACCCTTGGTGACAGCCTGACACTGCAGGGTTTCAGAGTTCAGGGGGCGGGAGCATGGAGCGTGGTTCTAGGGGCCGTCCCTCTTCCTCTTGCTCTGCGGGGTGGGGTGGCTGTCGGCCAAATAGTACAGTGACTAAAGTGACCCACATCAGGGGTGGGAGCCTGAAGAAGGCAGTGGAGTTGGTGATGCAGAGGCAGGAAGTTAGGCTGGGGGGATGTGAGCACCACCGGGGTGTGGAGAGGAAGTCCTCTGGTGGATGGGAAAGGGCTGATCTGCCTGGAAAATGGAACACTCCTTTCTTTGTGCTCTAAGACCCAGGTGATTGAGCACCAGCCAACACTATCAGATGGAGACCTGAGCTGTGGTCACCATGACCCTGGTGCCTGAGCTGGGGTGTGAATGATTCCACAAATGCTGACGCTCTTGTTCTAATGTGAAAACACTGTGGGTTTTTCTTTCTCTTTTATTCTTTGTTCCACACTGCATGGCTAAGGCAGACCCATTCGAGTTCATTGACTTCGAGGTTAATTTTTAACACAGTTTCCAGAGCCAAAGAGCAGGACATCCAAGAGACTGTCCACTTTCACATTTACTTTCCCGGCTGTGATAAAGGTGGGGGTTGCTGGTCCGATGGGCTGGGGTTGGGGGTGAGAAGTCAGCACTGAACTCCCTCCAGCTTGAACCATGCCCCTTCCTCACACTGGCTCAGGGCTTTAGTTTCCAAAGTCCCCTTCTGATCTGTGATCACATTTTACTCTTGGGTTAACACAGTGAGAGGTATCGAGGTGGGCAGAGAAGGCAAAGTGAGATTCAGGGGCAGAGGTTTCCTGACTCCTGGTCCAGTGCTCTTCTGCCTCTTGCTTTGGTACTAGTTTTCCCAGGTATAAAATATCCTTGAATCTCGGTTTTCCCACCTTTAAAATGAGGCTTTCAAGGATCCCTTCTTTGCAGGGCTTCTGTGAAAAATTAAGTAAATAATACATGTCATACATTTATCACAGGTCCTGGCACATGGCAAGAGTGGGTAAATGGCAGCCTTTGTTGTCACTAACCAGTGACCCCGGATCTCATGGGCATGGAATTATTAATTAATGATTAGTCTTTCTAGTTACAAGATCAAAGGACATCTGAGATGCTGGCTTGGCCTGGGGAATAGGTACCCTGACTACCATGTTGGTAGGGACTGTGGGCCTCTCCAGACCCTGAGCTGAGTCTCCTTTCTTCCTGACCACAGCGGATTCTGTGTACCTGGAATTGGAAGAGGAACGGCAGGAGTATGTCCTTACCCAGCAGGGATTCATTTACCAAGGCTCTGCCAAGTTCATCAAGACCGTACCTTGGAACTTTGGACAGGTAGGGTGCACCCTGTCCCTTCCATCCATCTCAGCCCTTCTGTGTGCTGGGTCTTGTGCCTGAGGCAGCCAAAGCTGCAAAAAGGTGTGAACGTGTCACAGGGTCACCCACTTCATGCTGTCAGGGGTGCAAAAGCCCTGAATGGCTGAAGGCTCAGAGAGGGCCATGGCTAGCCTGAGGTCACATAGCAACACAGTAGATCTGGACTCAAGGTAGTGGAAGAGCCGTGAAGTTGATTGGTATTCTGGGAGAAGAAAGAGGGAATAGTTAAGGCCATATATCAAAATAAAAGGCAGTACTTAGAGGGCACTAACTATGTGTTAGGTTGAGAACGGGCTTTAAATCTTTATCCAGATCAGTGCTTCTCACACTTAAGGGTGCACCAGAATCATTGGGAGAGCATGTTAAAACACAGATCCTTGGGTACAACCTTAGTTATTGATTCAGTAAGTCTGGATGGAGGCTGAGAATTTGCATTTATAACCAGTTCCCAGATGATGTTGAGGCTGCTTGTCCAGGGACCATACTTTGAGAACCAGTGGCAGGTTGTAGCAGTTAGCTACTGCTGAATAACAAGCAAGCCAGAAATCTAGAGGCTACAAGGAATAACCATTTATTATTTCTCATAAATGTATGGGTCAGCCATGGTATGGCTGGCTGTGTTGGGTTGGCTAGTCTTGGCTGATGGCTGGTCTCTATTTCACGTGCTTTCAGCCTGGGATCATTCTCCAAATCAGTGCTCTTATCTCCTTTATCACCCAGCACCCGTAAAAATTCTTGAGACTCTGCAGAGACAACTCACAAAGCAAGAATCATTAAGCTATAAACCTCGTGGTGTATTAGGGGATGCTGGCCTCCTGAGGTACACCCCAACCTGAGGCCTCCCCTAGCAGCCTCCAAGTCAAGGTCCAATGTTCAGGCCAAGGGAGTCCTGGGAATTCTTCCCTATGTGACTGAAGGCTCTGATCGGTTTCTTCAATCAAATATTGGAGATGATAATTGCAAAAATATCTACCCAGCAACCCTGTAGCCTGCTATAGGACATAAAATAAATGATGGTGTGACTAAGATACATAAAATACATCAGAAAATGAATTGGCTTTTATTTCTCAGAGCTTCTTATTTTCTCTTGAGAAATAGAACAAAGCGCATACCTTCTTTCATTTCCCAAGGTCTGTTGTGTATCTAGGCTTGAGTTAGGCTGTGGAATGTGGCCCTCACAAAACTTCTAGACGTAATCACAGCTCAGGAACATGAGACCAGAGGAGGGAAGGAGTAATAGCCTAAGGGATCAGGGAGGACTTCTTGAAGTAGGGAACATTTGAGCTGGGCTTTGAAGATCAAGTAGGAGTTTGCCATAGAAGGAGGTGGGTTCACCCTATGCCAGGTAAAGGAACTGAACGAGTGAAACCTCAGAGGTGGGAAAGTTTATGTTGCATCTGAGAAGTATGTTATAGCTTGGGGAGTGTTTTGTGTGTGAAAGAGCCTCAGGACATGAGGTGGGAGAAGCCAGCAGTGTCCAGCTTGTGTCAGGAGCCACAAGGGAGTCAAGCTCTGTTGTGCAGCTTGGAGAGAGACTCAGGGTGAGGCCTGGTTCCCAAACAGACCACAGAGATGGAGTCCAGGGGGCAGACAGCAGAGTCCTGAAGGGGGGTTCCAATGGAAGATGACAAGAAGGGGGTTCTGCCTATGAGAAAGATAACCTTTGAACTGCAAGGATAAGAAAGTATGAGCCATAAAGAGTAGCAGGAAGCACCTTCCAAGCAGATAACATAGTGAGTGCAAAAGCCCTGAGGCAGTGAGCCTGGCTAGCATGACAGTGGCCCCAGATGAGGGGGCAGGGCAAGCCTTGTAGGGCCAAGGAGAACTGTAGGTTTTCCTCTGGGTGTAGTTGAAATGGCAGAGTGATGGGATTGGAGTTATGCCTTTCTAACTGGTTCCCATCGGCAGTGTGTGGGGGCTGGGTCCGGGGGAGGAGGGCTCTGCAGGGTGAGTCAGGCTTTAGGGGAAGAGGGAGATTTGACTGAGCAGAGGGGAAAGAAGCAGTGGTAGGGCCTGGGGTGGCTCTGAAGGGAAGGAGAGCCCCAAGGATGCTGGGCCCCCCGCTCTGTGGTCTCCACTCTAGATTCCAGGGTCCCCGCAGCCAGGCCCTGAATGTGTATGGACATTCTGTCCCCTGTCACACACTCACAACCTGCCCAGGTATTGTCCTACCCCACTCCCTCCTGGGCCAGAGGAGGCTGGCATCACAGATATATGGCCTGACCCAGCAAAGCCACAGTCTGCTGTATCAGACCTGGCCAGGGGGGCCTGCAGCTGCTGGGGACTTCAAAGCAGGCTTCCTGGAGGAGGTGGCTTCTCAGCTCCCTCTTTTCTCCTCTTGTTTCCACTGATACAGTTTGAAGATTCGATCTTGGACACCAGCCTGATGCTCTTAGATGTCAACCCCAAGTTCGTGAAGAATGCCAGCCGTGATTGCTGCCGCCGCAGCAGCCCCGTCTATGTGTGCCGGGTGGTGAGCAATATGGTGAGTGAGTGTCGAGTGTTGGGACCCAGACAGGGTCAGTTCTCACAGTGGGCTCCAGCAGGCTCCTCCTCCCCAGGGATGACACAGGCCACATGCTGGGCACCTGCTGGACACCAGGGGGGGACCCAGGAGTAAGTCTCAGAGAAGAGAGCTTATATTTGGAAAGATAAGATTTACACAAATGGGGAGCAGGCCATGTGTTCCCCAAAGCAATTAATTTACCCATTTCTTCAGCAAATATTTATCAAGTGCTGCCTATCATGTCATAGGCACTGGGGATATAGCCAAATACAGTCCTGTATGGCCCCTAATTTCATGGAGTTTACATTCTACTGGGTGGGTGAGAGGAGACAGATGTTAACTAAAATATTACAGGAATGAGGGTAAATCATGATTCCCGTGCCGAAGGAACTCAGATGTGTAAGAGTGTCTGACTTCAAGGCCTGAGTTCTATGAGGGGCCAGGCACCTCCCTAAGAGGGTGATTAGGAGGAGAGGGGCATTCCAGGCAGGGGACCCAGATGTGCCAACGCCTGGAGGAAGGAACGACTTTGGCAGTCTGAGGAAAGGGAGGCCAGTGTGTGTGGGTGGCAGAGTGAGTGAAGGGTCGGGGTGCAGGAGGAGTTGCAGGGGTGGGTGGGGACTGACCACAGAGGGCCTCATGGGCTGTAAGGCTGTGGTCAGAAGGCTGGACTTTATTCCTAAGGTAATGGGAGTTTGGGGGGAACTATGTGAAACCCAGATCACACCATGCACACTCCAGCAACCATGTGCCCACAGGCACAGTCATGTCTCCAGCATTACATTCTGACCTTAACCCTTCCTGACCTCCTCCCACTCCCACCCTGTCTCTCGCCTGCACTCCGAGCTCCACCCCCAGCATCTCCAGCACACCACAGTCTATCCCACCGGGGCCCCTCTCCAGCTGCTGCCCCCTCCCTGGGAGCTCCCTCCCCTGCCTTCACCACTTGCTGTAATTGGCCTCATCCTGGCACAGATGTGACCCTCTTCTGGCTCAGTCCCCACGATGTCCTGCTGCTTGTAGGTCAACAGCAATGATGACCAGGGTGTGCTGCAAGGACGCTGGGACAACAAATACGAGGACGGCATCAGCCCCATGTTCTGGATCGGCAGTGCGGACATCCTGCGGCGCTGGAAGAACAATGGCTGCCAGCCTGTCAAGTACGGCCAGTGCTGGGTCTTCGCTGCTGTGGCCTGCACAGGTGAGCTGCACACTGAAGTATGAGCTGTGTGTCCTGGGAGGGAACACAGAGAGCACCAGAAATCAGGACACCCCAGTCTGGTTTTCCCTCTGCCACCAACGCTATCAGTGCACTGCGTGGCCCCGAGCCTGTGGCCACCCTCTCTGGTCCTTTTACCAACTACTGCCTCTAGGGTGGTTGTTAAGATTGAGGAGTATCTTTTGGGAGATAGCACAGGCTCAGGTCTGAGCATGTGGGCTGTGGAGCAGGCACAACTGAGTTAAAAATACCCACTCTCCCACTCACTTGCTCTGTGACCTTCAGCAGATGACATTTTCTGAACCTCAGTTTCCTCATCTGTAAAATGGGAACAACAATGGGTAGGGGTGACATACAGCTGCTCAGTGCAGAATCTGGCCCTGAAAATACCCGTAATATCATCAATGTCAAGAATGATAGAGCATATTCTAAAATGGACAGGTGGAAAGACAAAAAAGCAATTTAAAACCAAAAAAATAAATTAAGTCTTAAAAACATCTTGAAAAGTTAAGATCAGAAAATGCCCAAGTTCACATCCTAGCTCTGCTTCTTACCAGTTGTGTGTCCTTGGGTCAATCACTTAACCCCTCTGAACCAAAGTTCTATCATATGGGAAATAGGCAGGACAGTGGTACCTTTGTGCAGAGATGGTTGTGAGGATTGAATGACCCTGTATGTGTGAGGTGCTTGAAAGGATTTCAGGTGCAAAACAGTAAATATAGTGGCGCTGTTTATCACTGTCATTGCTATTATTCTAAATAAGCTCAGGAAATCTAAGAGGCCAATCTTTTCTGACTTCTGACTCCAAAACCAGTGCTAAGGCCTAGAGAGGGTTCCTTGAAGCCCCCCGGTCCTGTTCTCACACTAGCAGGCTGGGACAGAGCAGCCTAGCCTACAACCTCAGCTAGGCTGGGGCAGTCTGTTCCCTTATGACCTCTGAATTCTCTTTTCTTGTGGAAACTCTAGATCTTACCCTCTGAGAGGCCTAAAATATGTCTTTGCAGAGAACCCCATGGGTTTTCCTAGAGAAACCCACAATCCATGGCTTGGGTCCCCAGGCCACCTGCAGAAGCCTTTGTCACCCTGGGCTGTGGCTACCTGAAGGTTTAGCAGCAGATCTTGCCGTCGACTGTCCTCTCCACGAGGCCAGGGCTGTGTCCTGGTCCCTGCAGCCTCTTTCCAGGCCATGTGTGGTGAAGCCAGGGAAAAACTTGGTCAAATAAAGGACTGTCTGTTCACCTTGGCTGGGAGATTTTCCAAGGGGCCGAATGGGGAATTGGCACATGGACTCTGGAGCTGGACTGTCTAGGTTTGAATCCCAGCTCTGCCTCCAGCCCCTGGGTGGACTTGGGCAAGAGAATGTATGTCTCTGAGCCTCAGTTTCCTCAGCTGTAGAATGACTGTGGGACTGCCCTTACAGGGAGCACTTGGGACTAGGAAGCGTCACTTGGCACCCGCTGCTCAGCTCAGGCTTTACATTCAGAGGTTTCCAGCATTCTCACCCCAGGCCCTGGGAATTTTCTCTATGTCTGTGAGTCAGCCAACATTGACTGACGTGACCTGCTGGGAGGGGCACCGTGACACATGTGCTATTCCCGAGCGGCTCTTGAGCGCGCACTCTGGGCACTTGGGCAGATCTTGTCTGCCCATACCCGTGGCCTCTGTGAATCATCACAGCATGCCCATCAGCTTCTCTTACTGAGGAGGAAATGGAGGCTCAGAGAGGGGAAACGGCTTTCCCAAGGTCACACAGCCGGTTAGCACAGCTGGGCTCTGAACCAGGTGTGCACACTGCTGGGGCCGCCTTAGTTAAATGATGAGGCCTCCAGGGATGCCACCCTGGGGCAGGTGTGCTGCCTGGCTCCTTGGACAGCAGGGACAGACCTCCCCAAGCCTCCAGTCTGTATATTCTGAGGCCCACTGCATGGTGGGTCAAGACCTAGGGTCAGGACACCAGTCTTCACTGAAGGCACACACCCCAAGGGCACAGGAGCCAGACAAGTACAGGCTCACAGCTACTTCCCCTTCCTCCCACTGCCCACGCGTCTCCTGGCGGGAATCCAGGGCCATCCAGGAAGTTCTTGCCCTGGCTGATGGTGGGCACAGGGCAAAGGTCACATCCCTTCCCCTTTCCCCTTCCTGAAACTCAACTTCAATCAAAACCAAACTAAAACAAAAATCTCACAGATTACGTTTAATAGAGCTTTTTGTTTCTCTTCACCTTGTAGATATTTACCCTGTCCTGAGACTCTGTTAGTTTTATAATATACATAAAAGGCACATTTTAAAAGGAAGTAAAAGCACCCATAATCCTAGGTGCACGATGCCCAGGGCGCCCCTCAGGGAGGGTCCGTGCCTGTGTCCCTCCCTCACCTGCATGTATAATCTTTGACTTGCAGAGAGGAGCTTAGCGTGTCAAAGCCAGTTAATATCCTGACTCTTTTTAATCTGCCATTGCCCCCTCTGCCCTTCCCAGAAAGCAGTGCCGTGGGCGTGAATGCAGGGCCTCCCAGCAGGGCTAAAGACCCCAACCTATAGATGGTTGTGACCCTTTTAATAGGGCACATAATATTTCTAGTCCCCTATGTTGGGAGCGATGAGGAATCCCCAGCTATGCTACAAATACACACAGAGATGGAAACAAGGCCTGGGCAGGTGGGCTGGCCCCAGGTCACACACTGAAAGTAGCTGGGTCTCCTGACCTCTGTCCCTCTCCTGCTGCTCTGCTGTTTACAGCTTACTCTGAATCCCTGTCTTACGGAGATGTGGTCATTCATTAACTCTCTCCTTGCCTTCTTCCCTCTCTCTTTCACCTGCTTCTTCAACCCATTTGACAATAGTCAGTGCCAGACCTATACTAGGCTCTCAGGATATAACAAAAGACAGACCCCTTGCTGTCCCTGGGGGACTGACTGAAGAATCCCACATGCCTGGACATTAGTAGTGATGATTGACCCCCAGCGGTGCTATGAGTGCAAATGGGGGTGTCCTGAAACTGGCAGTGTGACCTTCCCAGCAGAGGGAACAACATATGGCAATGCCCTGAGGCTGGCAGGAGCATGGAGTATGGAGGCCAGTGTGACTGGAGCAGAGGGAGCAAGGAGGTGACCAGTCACCATGCCCTTCATGTAGGATGAAGGGGCACAGCCAGGGGTCTGGCCTTGACATCAAGGGTAGTCATAGAAGATTTATCAGAGGATTAGTAACATCAGAGTCTCCTGGGAACTTCAATGTAAGAAGGTTAGAGTGGGTATGGGGTAAGCACTATTGTCCAGGCAAGAGGGGCTGGCCCACACCCTCACCATCTGGACAGTGCTCCCTGGGGTGTAGATGGGCATGTGAAAGGCCAAAGCACCAGGACCTCGGCCACCCCCAACCTTCTCTCTGCACTCCCCCCACAGTGCTGCGGTGCCTCGGCATCCCCACCCGTGTAGTGACCAACTATAACTCAGCCCATGACCAGAATAGCAACCTTCTCATCGAGTACGTCCGCAACGAAATGGGGGAGCTCCAGACTGACAAGAGCGAGATGATCTGGTGAGTTGTACCAGGATGAGGTCAGGGCTCAATGGGGAGGGCCCCGTGGAGAAGAAACCCAGGAAGGCTCCTTGGGCCTTTGAATTGAAATCGGACCTTAGAAGTTGAGCAGCATTTGGGTGGGCCTGGGGAGGGACAGCATGAGCAGAGGCCAGAGGAGGGACAGTCAGACACATACAACCACATACATGAAGTGTCAGGTAGACTCATGCTGCCAAGGTCCCTGGGAGTCTGGGACGACAGATCAGGGAGCCTGGGCTTCATTCCAAAGGTAACGGATTGTCAGTCAAGGCTTCAGAGCATGAGAGGGCTGTGCTGATAACTGGACCAGGATGGCTGGGGGTGGGGGTGGGGGCTGAGGTGTGGTCCAGGTGGGTGGTGATGAGGCCTGACCCAGGGCAGGGCCCGTGCAGGGCTCCGAGGTATAGGAGGGAGCCTCCATGGCTATGGAGTGTGCTGCTCAGATGGGCTCCTGAGGGCAGGTGGGGTCTATACTGTGCTCAGTTTGGGACAAGAAGAGTGTGCATCTGGGGCATGCACTGGGCGGTCCGCCTGCAGAAAGGAGGTGGTGACAAATGTTACCTCTGTCCTGCCTCATTTCCCCACTAGGAACTTCCACTGCTGGGTGGAGTCATGGATGACCAGACCCGACCTGCAGCCAGACTACAAGGGCTGGCAGGCCCTGGACCCAACACCCCAGGAGAAGAGCGAAGGTGGGCAGGCACACTCGTCACCCAGATGGGGAGACTGAGGCCTGGAGAGTTAGTGATATGGCTGGAGAGTGGCAGTGCTGGGAGCTTAACCCCAAGACTGCTGGAGGGTCTACACCAGGGTGGAGGGACCTCACTTAAATTTCATAATACCCTTTTTTCTCATAATTTGAAAAGTAATTCACACGCATTGTGGAAAATGAAAAATATGGAGAAGCACGATGAGAAAAATAACATCTTTGTCCTCTCTCCCTAGACATTCACACATAGCTTCTAGTAATTTCAAATTTGTGTATATTTTTGTGTGTGTGTGGTTTTGTACACACATTGTACGTGTGAGAGACAGCGTGACAAGGCAAATTTGGTACAGCATATGGACACTTTCTCGGAATATTTTTAAATGCATAGAATATAAACACACAAGGTTACAAAGAGGTTAATTAAAGGTTAATTAAAACATAGTTATTACAAGTTGGAAAACATAAACTTACGATGTAATAATGCATGCTTTTCTATATAACAAGATCTAGTTGTAGGGGAAGGTCCGTAATGTCGTGCTAGAAAGGAGCTTAAGTTACATTTCCCACTCCTTGTGACTACTGTAAGGTGATAGGAACACATCCGTGGTCCTTATGGGTGGCAAATCAAAGAGCCCCTAAGGCTATTGTGGTTTGTTGCCTGATTTCAAAATCATCAGAGTTGCTACCAAAGTGTAGTGAGAATAAAGGTATTATTTTCTCTTGTCCAAGTTCATGGACCCCTGACCCTGAGGGTCTGTGGACCTGAATTTGAGAACTCTGGTGACATATGACCTTTATCCTGGCTCTATCCGCCTCTCCATATATCATTAGCACTTCTCCAGGGGATGGTTTTCTGTGATTTGAATTTTAATTTAGCAGTACCATGTTCTGTCACATAGACGTGCTAGACTCTATCGACCCTACCTCTAGCCCTCAGCATTCAAATCTGTGGACAGTGGGGAGGGCTGAGATAAACGTCCATCACCTGACTCACTCCCTGGAGCCAACGCCACGCCAGGTACTGACTGCCACCTTCGGTAAACAGGACAGATGTTCTCCACCCTAACATGTTGTCTGTTGCTTGACCCCATGGTTTCCTTAGGCTGCTTTGAGATACATTTCTATTTATTAAATACTTGTGTTTAGTCCAGACTAAGAATTTTACATCGATAACTCATGAGTCCTTATTAGATAGGTTCAAATATCATCCAGGCATGAAATTGCAGCTTGGAGAATGACTGGCCCAAAGCCAGCCAACTATTACAATAAGAGGCTGAACTGAGATTTGAACCCTAAAAGCTGCACTTAGAGCCTTTGAACCCTCAATCTGTGGTGCTCTCTTAGAAATTGGAGGCCCTGAGTCAAACGGTTGCATGGTCTTGAGATTTTTGCTACCTGGGGTTGAACTGCAGAGAGTGCTGGAGGATGTTATCCCCTCTCAATCCAGGCCCATCTCTTCCTCTTCCTCCCCCTAATCAGGGACATACTGCTGTGGCCCAGTTCCCGTTCGTGCCATCAAGGAAGGTGACCTGAAGGCCAAGTATGATGCACCTTTTGTCTTCGCTGAGGTCAATGCTGAAGTGATAAACTGGATCCAGAAGAAAGACGGGTCCATGCACAAATCCACCAACAATTCCTTGGTCGTGGGATTGCATATCAGTACTAAGGGCGTGGGCCGTGATAATCGGCAGGACATCACCCACGAATACAAATACCCAGAGGGTAAGTGCCCTGTCTCTCAGAGCTCTTAACATGGCCTTGCAGGTAAGCATCCCATGTTAGCAACCTAGCTCTGAGAATGTGTGTATGTGCATATATGTGTGTGTGTGTGTGTGTGTGTGTTACATGTGGCAGCCTGCAGACAGCAATGACCTACCTGTAGGTTACACTTAGAAACAAGTACCGTGGTAAAGGAGTATTCATTTAGGAAAAGAATTTTATAATCCGTAAAAGGATTCAACTTGGTTTTTAAGCCTTTCTTTTTTAGTTGGGTTGACTCTTAATAAAACTATAGGGGATAGTTATTATATAGGAGAGGCATGCATCCTAACAGAAAAATGAATATCCGTGCTTTTGTGTTGTTTATTAAGGGTATGTATTAGCAGCAGGAACTACAACTACAGATGGGCAGTTCCACACTTTTTTTATTGCAATGAGTTTGTCCTAGGGGGGTCCAGAGAGTCCATGGAGGAGAGTTTTCTGGAACTTTGCAGTGTTTTTTGTTGTGGTATTTAACAAAAAGCTGGGGAAGGGGGCAGGAAGGTGGATGAGGAAGGGTTGAATTAAAGAGAAATGTCACGGGGGTGTGGCAGCTCACACCTGTAATCCTAGCACTCTGGGAGGCTGAGGAGGATGGATTGCCTGAGCTCAGGAGTTCGAGATCAGCCTGAGCAAGAATAACACCCCTTCTCTAGGATAAATAGAGAAATTAGTAGGGTGTTGTGGCTAGTGCCTACAGTCCCAGCTACTTGGGAGGCTGGGCAAGAGGATTGCTCAAGCCCAAGAGTTTGAGGTTGCTGTGAACTATGATGCCAGGGCACTCTACTCAGGGTGACAGAGGAAGATTCTGTCTCAAACCAAAAAGAGAGAAAAATTTCAACTGGTGGGTATGGTGGCTCATGCCTGTAATCCTAGCACTCTGGGAGGCTGTGGTAGGAGGCCAGGCATTCAAGACTAGCCTGGGCAAAAACAAGACACCATCTCTAAAAAGAAAAAATAAAACAATTAGTGGGCAGCGCCTGTGGCTCAAAGGAGTAGGGCACCGATCCCATATGCCAGAGGTGGCAGGTTCAAACCCAGCCCTGGCCAAAAACTACAAAAAAATTAAAAAATAAAACAATTAGCTGGGCATGATGGCATGTACCTGTAGTTCTAGATACTTGGGAGGAAGAGGCAGGAGGATCACCTGAGCCCAGGTACAGTGAGCTATGATCATGCCACTGCACTCCAGCCAGGTGACAGAGTGAGACTCCTCTGTCAGAGAGAGAGAGGGAGAGAGAGAGAGAGAGAAAGAGAGAGAGAGAAGAGAGAGAGAGATGGGCTAAGAAAAATCTAATGTAATGGGTTCAGTCAGATATAAGGATGAGGCATCTTTCTGCTAGTAGTATTAAATCAATAGGGGGGAAATGATTTGGTTTATTTTTATAATAAAAAATGGATTTGAGCATATCCAATAGTCAGTTCGATGCAATAGGTATTTTCTAAGCATCTACTATGTGCCAGGCACAGCAGAACTCAAGAGAGGGAGCTAAGAAGTCAGAGTCCCTGCCCTGACCTTACAGGGCTAACTGAGGGTTGGCTATTCCATCCCACCATGTTCTCCCTGGCTTTTGAAAGGTCTAGAATTAATGGTTTGTTAGAAGTAGATATGCATTTAACAACACTGGGGTAAAAATAAAAGGAGCATAGGAGAGAGGTAAATGGAATGCAAAGAAAGGAGCAGTCAGAAAAGGAGAGAGAAAGGATTGCAGGTAGAAGTCCCTGCAAATGCCTGAAGGTGAGAAAGTTCCAGTTGTATTGGTGCCTAGTATGCACCAAGCATTGTGATAGGCGAGGGTATGACATAAAGTAAAATAAACAACTATCTTAGTCTTTAAGCAGCAAAAAGTAAGTAAGGAAGTAAGAACATAAGTAGAAAACATCCCGGGGAGGAAGTGATCTGAGAAGGCTTCCTGGAGGAGTCATTTGGGACTGGGTCTTGAGGGATGTATAGGAGTTCATGTGTGAGAAATAAAATGCTGTTTCCTCCTCCAGACAGAGAACTGTAGAGAGGGGCTCCTTCAGCACTGCTCTGAATCACCAGGACTCTGAGAAGCCAGTTTTTCCTGTCCCAGCCCCCTTCCCAGTGACCCCCATTCCAGTTGTGGTTGAGGCTTTCTTCATTGTCCCTACAGGGTCCTCAGAGGAGAGAGACGTCTTCACAAAAGCCAACCATATAAACAAACTCTCCGAGAAGGAGGAGACAGGGGTGGCCATGCGGATCCGCGTGAGCCACAGCATGAACATGGGCAGTGACTTTGACGTGTTTGCCCACATCTCCAACAACACTTCTGAGGACATGGTCTGCCGCCTCCTGCTCTGTGCCCTCACTGTCAGCCACAACGGGGTCCTGGGGCCTGAGTGTGGCACCAAGAACCTGGTCAGTCTTTCCGTGGAGTCCTTCTCTGGTAAGGCCTTGTGTTCCTGGAGTGTTTGTTGGCACCATGCTCGCTAGTGCCCTGAGCACTTGGCACTTGTCATTTGACCTCATAGACACTCCGTAAAGTTAGGTAGCTGCCTGTGGCCAGAAGCTGCTGTACTGGACAGGGCAGCTCAGATGGCAACAGCAGAGAAGAAAGTCCAGGCCTTGAGACAGGTGTGGGGAGGGATCCTCACCCCTACCCCCTGCCTGTGCCCTTGAGCCAGCACGGGCCTGGCCCCTGCTCAGCAGATCCCCTTCCCTGGGAAGTAGCAGGTGCTGTGTGACCCCCAACCCTGGGCAGAGCTTTGCTGCTCAAGTCTCTCATTTAACACCTGCACAGTCAAGGTCCCTTCAGTCCCTTTTGCTGCCTGGCTTTGTCATTGTCCCTGGTTATCTTCTTAAAAATACACCCAAGGCCCTGGGTGGGGCCGCTGAGCTCAGAGGTCACATGTGAGGCAGCACAGAGCTGGGCGCCCTGCAGGCATGAGGGGAACAGAGGGTCCTGGAGCTGGTAGGACGAGACCCTGGTCATCCAGAGCGGCTGTGAGAGCAAGTGGGACATCCTTGGGCAGTGTTGCTATGTCACCTGAGTCAAGTGTTCCCTTCAGGCATGTGGGTGTCGTGATCTGACAGTGTAAGAATGCCGGGGAGTGAAAGGCTGTGCGCACAGTAGGCCCTCAGTACCCGGGGGCCAGTGTGGTCATAGCTGGGGAAGACCCCAGGGTGGGAGCTTTCTGGGCTTATGGGGGTCTGTCACCCTCACCTTTTCTCCTCTCCAGCCTGTCAAACCAGTAGTAGATTCTCTCCTCTATTCCCCATAGTGGGGCTTCTGTATGGGCAGGCTGGGTGTTTGGGGCACTGACGGTTACCAGTCCCATCTCAGGCTCTCCCAGGACACTCCTGCAGTGATCCCCAGGCAAAGGCACCGTCAAGGCCCAGGCAGAGCCCCCAGCAGGGCTCTGGCCCTTGGGGGCAGAGTGTCTTGGCACTAGGGCAAGTCCCAGTACTTTCACTGCTGGAAGACACATCTGAAGCCGGCCAGACCTGGCTTTGAGTCTTGCTTTTGCCCCCTTTTAAATGCACAACTGTGGGCACACCCTCTGGCCTCGGATTATGCTCATGTACTAAATGGGGTGGTGACATGCCCAGCTGTGAAGACTGAGAGAGATGTGTACTCAGCAAAGCAAAATGGCATAGAGACGTGGTGGGGCCCCCACTCCTTGCAGAGCAGAAGTGCAAAGAGGCATGAGGGGGCTGAGAAGAGCCATGAACTTTTCCTGAACACCTCTTAGGCAGCGGTGTCTGCCCTGGGCTTGTGGTTACTAGTCCCTGCCACCTTGATGGGTGGAAAGGACCCAACTCTTGCCTTCCAGCCAGGTTCCTGGAGTCAGGGGCAGGGGCCCATCCCTACAGAAATGTGGGTGGTCAGGACACCCCAGTTCTGGTTCCTACAATCTGCTGACTGGCTGTGGGCTCCTGGGTATTTCACTTCTCCAGGCTGCAAACTCCCCATTTGTATAAAGGCAGGTCCATCTTTCAAGGGCCCCTTCAGCCCCTTTATTTGAATGCGCACTCGCCAGCTCTCCTCATGCTCAGAACCACTCCAAGAGGAGAAAGTGCCTCTCCTGGAATGTGTGGTATGAGGTGAACTCCCCGTCTGGGCCAGACATGCCAAGATCACTTCCTCCCAGGCCTCTGTAGAGTTAGCGTTTGCCTCCCAGACACCATCAGGGTACTTGGAGCGTTGTCCTGCAGTGGCTTCAGCCAAGCCTGCTGGCTTTTCTCATCATCCTGGAGGTGTGCTCCCCACAGAGGGGTCCCTTGTGCTGCAGATCACACAGGGCATAGCCTTCAGGGTGCAGGTGGAGAGGACGGAGGCCCTGAACGTTGCCCACCAGCTGGAACGTGGAGGTAGCCCAAGATGCCCTGTTGGGACCTTCAAAGCAAGCCCAGCCTGAGGTTGGTTCTCTCATCCCCCCAACTTTGGCTGCGTTGCTTGTTATTCTCTGATGATAAGATCTGGGGGATTTCCATGTACTAGTGGACAGGAAGCCAGGCCCAGGACAGCTAAGCAGAAGCCAGGTGCCCCCACCCCTGCCACTTGTCCTGCCATTTCTCTCTCTTCCCCTTCCGGCCTCCACCCTTTTGTTCTCTCTCCTCCCTCGTCCTCCAGGTGGGTCACTGGGAGTGTAGCCAATGGGGCCTCGGTGACCATCCCTAGGGCACTTTCTTGAACGGGTCAAATTGTCTGGGGGATGACTGAGACTGACTGCACATGCTGCTTCTTCCCAGCCAGCACCTGGCCCAAGGCCAAGGCCATGGTCACTGGCCTGTGAACAGAGGCCGTCAAAGGTCTGGCCCTGCCCTGGCCTCCACCCCCTGGAAAAGTCAACAGTGGGAGCCGCATATCCCAGGCTCCTGCGGGACAGTGTTTTCCTTCTTTCCTAGGGAGCTGGTTGTGAGATTCCACTCTGCACCTCCAGGTCCTGACCTACTGATTTTCACTCCCTTTGTCCTTTTTGGCACAGAAGTTGAGTTTTTTCCCCTAGATCACATCAGAGGTTGGAGCAGATCCACCAGGAAATGAAAGGCGAAAAGGCCGGGTGGGCCAGTGCAGCGTTTCCAAAGAGGACTCCAGGGGAGCACGGTCGGGGCCTGAACCTAGACTCCCATGGGGAGAAAATGACAGCAGGGCCCTGCACAAGTCCCTTTTCTATTTACTGCTCCTGCTCCCTATCAAAGATCCCCAATAACCTTGGACCTCAGTACTGTCAGAAACACAGGGCTAAAAACCTCACTTCACTATGCTGCCATGGAGGGTTTGGCCCTCCCCGCTTCCTCCTCACCCCTTATCACCATGTCGCTTTTGCTTGGCAGTGACCTCTTGTCTTAGGTCTGCCCAGCAGGTGCCAGTGGACCTAGAGAGCAGAGAGGGGACAGCAGGGAAACAGAGGGCAGGTCTTCTTTTCAGGCTTACACAGCCAGCCTGGTCCCGAGGCTAGGTCTGCAGACCCCAGTGCTTCCCGACAGAGGTGTTTCTTTATTTGAGCATTGGGTACAATACGGCCAGCCCCATGGAGAGTAATGAGCTTGTGTCCCTGAGATGCACTCTTCAGCCAGTGCAGATCACACAGATGGACTCATGTTCACATGCCTACATGGCTATCCCATCTCTGTGACCTGGGGCAATGTTCTTCCACCGACCCAAGCCTCAGCTTTCTCATCTGTAAGTTGGGCAATGATGAAAGTATAAGCCTTTTAGGGTTGTGATGAAAGGGAAGTAGAACAGCGTGTGAAACAGCAGATGGCGGCTCCAACCCCCCCAGGTGCAGTGGCCACAGGTCGCTCACCAGGTGCTGAACATGTCATGCTCCCTGGCCCCTGCAGCAATTCTTCCCTCCCTCCCCCCACCCCCGCCTTATAAGCACCTTTGCTACACAGATGCACTCAGAGGGCCCGCGATGTGGAGTGGATCTGCCAGTGTCACCAGTCGCAAGGGGCAGAGGGGCAGAAGCCGCCGAGCACTTCCCCTGCTGGCTATTCTGCCTCTTGTCTCCAGGGCCTGATCAGAGTTTTGGAACCAGGGTGGGGAACAGGGGGGAGACCTGGTATCTGTCCCGCCATTCCGCAGCTGTGTGACCTCAAACGCATCCCTTCCCACTCTGTATAAGCCATGATGCAGCCATCACAAGCGCCCTCCCTCTCTTCCATCTGCAGAGAAGAGCATTCCTCTCCGCATCCTCTATGAGAAGTACGCCGACTACATGACGGACTCGAACCTCATCAAGGTGCGGGCCCTCCTTGTCGAGCAGGCTTCCAACAGGTACCTGCTGGCCGAGAGGGACCTCTACCTGGAGACTCCAGAAATCAAGATCCGGGTAAGCGGTAGGCTGAGCAAGGTGTGGAGCAGGGTCCCAGGACAGCCCAGCCCTGGGGAAAAGGCAGCCCCCACCCATGCGTACCCCTGCGTCCCTGCAACCACAAGTTTGTCGGTGCTACAGGGGTCCTCAAATCCTCAACGAAGAAATACATCATGGAGCCAAAAGGATTTGGGACTTGCAGCACTCTGTGAATGAATTCTAGAATCCCAGAGTGATAGGATCACGAAATTCAGGGATCTTAGAATCATGGGTCGTTGAAATAGTGAGGGGCTAAGACTGAGTCCCTTAGCACTTGGTGCTGGTGGACCAAGAAGGGGCGGGGGATGGAAGGACACAGACTGGAGTCTGCCTGCCTGAGTTTGTGCCAAGGTGGCCCTGGGCTTGTTATTATTTCATTCCTCTGTGCCTCAGTTTATTTCTCTATTACATGGGGTTAACACCAGCACCTACGGGTGTTATAAGGATTAAAAGTGTACCCATAGGAAACACATAGACCCTTACCCAGCACATTATAACAGCTCGATCAAAGCTACCTTTCTTCATCATCACTATTAGAATGGTTCATTTGGAGGAGCCACAGCCTCAGGAGCCCCAAGTGTACCAGTTACAGATAAATGGTGATCAGTAGGGGAAGAGGTCGTGGGCACTGTGTGCCAGGCATTCTGCTAGGAGTCTGTACACATCGGCTCAGTTAATCCTCATGAGAACCCTCAGACACTCATTTCTCTCCCAAGAAGAAACCAAGGCACAGAGAGGCTGGTACCTTCCTTAGGTCACACAGTAAGGAAGGGGCCTAAATCAGCCTGTGGTCTTTCCACTCCAGACCTGGAACAAGGGAGGCACTTTGTACATCCCTTGGGTCCCATGGTCACAGTGCAGCACCAGGAAGGACACCTGGGCAGGTATCACCATCACCAGATGGAGAAACTGACGCACAGAGAGGGCCTTGATAGTACAGAGCTGAGCATGGCTTTGTTCAGCCAACACTGGTCAAATACAGGGATGACCCGGCCTGGACCCTACCTGCCCCTGACAACTGCTCCATGTCCTTCCAGATCCTGGGAGAGCCCAAGCAGAACCGCAAGCTGGTGGCCGAGGTGTCCCTGCGGAACCCACTCAATGTATCCCTGATGGGCTGCTCCTTCACCGTGGAAGGGGCTGGCCTGATTGAGGAGCAGAAGACTGTGGAGCTGTAAGTGCCGGTCTCTCTGGCCGTGGGGCGGGGAGAAGAGAGAATATGCCGGGGGGCGGGGGGCAAGGGCTGCTCTCAGGTGCCAAATCCTGGGCTGCAATCCCGTCCATCTCCCCACCACACCCACACCTGGGGCCTACTCCCAGGCACGGAGTCCTCCCCACACCCTTTCTCAGCACCAACACATAAAGGTGCACCCTATGCACACCTCTTCCCAGAGTTGAGCAGTGACATGTTTACTCACTACACCTGCCTCCGGACACTCAAGTCCTCGCACAGAAATCCATATTCACATTCCAAAGGCACAGCGCACGCATGTGTGAGCGTCCCCTCAAAGATGCATATCTACGTGTGTACATACATGTGCACACAAATGCACTTATTTTTTACCTTTTTACTTGCAATGTAACTTATATACAGTAAAGAGCAACAATCATGTATGTATGTGTGTTCACACACGTGGCCACCTAAGCAGACTTACTCTGGTTTATTTTTTAAGAGATAGCTGTCTCGGTTCGGCGCCTGTAGCTCAAGCGGCTACGGCACCAGCCACATACACCTGAGCTGGAGGGTTCAAATCCAGCCCAGGCCTACCAAACAATGACAACTACAACCAAAAAATAGCTGGGCATTGTG